GAGTGATGTTTTGTGAGGAGACAGTGGGTGGAAAGATAAATCTAGGATATCTAAAGCACTGAATTGCTGCCTCTTTCCCTCAATAATGGAGGAGCGGACAACATGTCACATGTTTATTAGACTACTCACTGATTCCATGGTGCAAAGTTTGGAAACCATTTGCCTGACCCACCTATCAGTTGGTTAGCAATGAAGGAGATGGAATTTTACTGGTGGGGCACTGCTTGGCATCAATTGAAACATGATTTCTAACTTACTTTCAAAAATCTTAAGGGGGAACTTCCTCCAATGCTGTCTCTACCAAACGTATCTACTCAATTGCTGATCAGCAGAGCCTGTAATCCAGCACCTACCTCCATGTTTCTGAGCCAGATGTTAGAACTGACTCTGATGTTGGTAGGCCTGGTCCTGAATATCAACTCTGCTGTATCTTGTGACAAATGTGTAACCAGCACTAGTAATAAGGAAAATTGGATTACATAAGCTTATCCATAAGTAGGTGACGTAGGTGAGTAATGTCTTCAGTGTTACTGCCATGGATTCAAAATTCTTGCAGAGATCTGTCTCACACCCACTTTGTTGCAAGTCTTTTTACTACCCCTATTCGACCCCCCATTGTATAAACTGTGTAGTATGGCCTGATGCAATTATTTTAATGTTCTTTAATAGATGTTGTGTTTTGTGTACATTGCCTTGTGAGGGTTATGTCCTAAAAGGCAGCTGAAAAATACTTAAATGAATAAATTACACAAGATAAGGATTATAGCTCCTAAAGGTTTTCCCTTATTTTAACTGAATTTTAACTGAAGAGGAAACCTTTTCCATCTCTTTCTGTTATGCTCTTGTATAGTTTGGTTCCTTTCTGCAAATTGCATAAATATATTACTTGAACAAAAATTCTTATGACTGCATTAGGGATGAAGGAACCCACTTCAAGCTTAATAGAACTGCAAGAGATAGCTCCTGATCCTTATTTTCTGCTTCTTTGCCTAGAAGAGGAAATTCAATAATTGGCAGATGCCACCTACTGGAGAAAATAAATAATTGTATGGCAATTGAGGAAAACAGATGCATCTTCAGTGCTGTTGCAACTGATCATTTTCAGATTTCCACATTTTCACTCCCAAGCATATAAAGTGATACCCAAGTCACTGCCTTCAAGTAATTGCCGATTTATGGTGACCCTAAGGCAAGAGGTTTTCTGGCAAAAATCGTTCAAAGGGTGTTTGCCTTTGCCTTCCTCTTGCGCCTGAGTGAGCATGACTTGCCTAAGGTCAGTCAGTGGATTTCCATGGCTGAGCAGGGATTCGAACCTTGGTCTCCAGAGTTATAATCCCAGGTTCAAACCATAATACCACGCTGACTCCCTAGGGCCTTCAATTTAATTAATTAGGAGCACACTGATTTCTTCCTCTTTTATGCTTCTCATTTTCTCCCTCATTCCCCTGTCCTTAATCTTAAATTGGTATGAAACTCTTGGAGTTCCTCTCACTCAGGAGATTTTTTTTCTCTCTAGTGGGGACTTGTAATGTGGAACAGTAGCATCAGTTGCACAATATCTAGTTATATACAGTGATTCATCTATTCCAAGGAAAAGACTTAGGTCCACCAATCTGCCGCTGATAGACATCTAGTTCAAAGATAGTGACTACAACTAACCATAGCTCAGGATACTATACCATATTGGCTAATAAGAACATGGTGCTTGAGTGAACATGGAACACCCTTGACAAAACATGATAAAATGAAAGGAGTTTTGTTTACTGAACCTGATTACGTTTTGAGAAAACTATGCCTACAAAGACTTGGAACAACTACTAAGGAAAGACAAAGAAGAAAGTGCAAAGGTGAGTTTAATGTGGAACATAAAGAAAAGTAAAATAATGACCACAGAGTATACTGAATTCACAAATTCAATACAGACGATGAGGAAACTGAAATAGGATTTCCCATATTGATCAATCAAATCCCAGTGATCAGTTATTCACCAGAACAGAAATTGCAGTCAAGAAATCAGGAGAAGACTAGGGACGTTATCACACGTGGGCCAGAAAGTGATAATAAAGTGGAAATGAGGCATTCCAAAAATAAACCAAAAATAAACTTTAATTCCACAAATGGCTTTCACACATAATTACCTTAATTGCAAAATTACAGTAAGCGCATTTAACGGTCACACACAAGTGAAAAAAGCCCATAAATGAACTAGAAATGATCTTCTTGCACATGCGCAGATAGAGGAATGCTCGCCATGGGATTTGTGTGGATTAACCAGCAGATTTGCCCTGTGTGATAACGTCCTTGGACTAGGAAGGGCAACTATGAAAGAACCAGTCAAGATCCTAAAGCGCAAGATATACAATTGAACACTAAAGCGAAGATTGTTCATGCCATCATATTTTCCATCACTATGTATGGGTGTGAGAGCTGGATGGTGAAGAAAGCCCCTCTGTTAGGTAGAGAACACCAAATTTCTAGAGAGGCCTCCATGCTTTTGCAACATATATTTTGTGTATTTTGGTTGTTCCAATAAAGGTATTACTGTTTTGTGGATTTTGGATGTTATTGCACTTTGTTACACGCCCAACATGGCTACCCCTGAATGTGTTTTCTGGATATAAGATACCACATTTTAACTGCATCAGAGGAATCCTAAAGATAGGGCCAATGGACTGGGACTTTACCATTTGAAGTTTCTAGTTCCAACAAAGGTAAAACATTTTTTTTTTTAAAAAAATTGGATTACTTTTGTCATGTTTTAGTAAAAATGGCACCTAAAAATGTTTCCTAATGTAAAAACATGGAGGTTTCTTTAGAAATTCAGTATTCTCTGCCTAATAAGGGGGCTTGTAGGTTCACAAAGGACAGAAGCAACTTGGATCTCAAAAGAATTATCTTTTTGTTTTGTTAATGGAATTTAAATGTTATTTCCTGGAGTACTCACAAGGTCAGAAGGGGGGGGCGCCTGAAGAAATGTCCCTCCATACAACCTGAACATAGAAGAACAAAAACCTCTTGACAAAATGTATGCCTGTGACTAACATCATCATCATGTTTTTTCTCCTGTATGATTTTTAACACCTTTGCCCTGATGAAGAAGCCAGTGGAGCTTCAAAAGCTTGCAACATGTATTTTGTGTATTTTGGTTGGCCCAATAAAGTTATCACTGTTTTGTGGATTTTGGATGTTACATGTTTATGGTAGAAGTAATGCTGCAATTCTTTTCGCACCTCTCCCAACTTCACATCACTATCACTTTTTTTCTAACAGGTAACTTTTCTTATTCCAGCCTGGTAGTAACTAGTTACAAACAGCTAGTGACTTGTATATAGGTCTTTTCCCCAATAATGAAAGTATTACATTATTATATTGACCCAATGAGGAGTTTAACCCATTTTGTAATGTAACTCTAACATTTAGTTACTTTTAAATAAATAAATGGTGCTGGAAGAATATCTTATGGTTCAAGTGTTGGTTTGTGCTGTTGTTTCTGCTTCTGCCTTATTCTCTGTTGTGGGTACTGAAGCAATGATAAAATGGTCATGAAAAGAATGAACAGTCAGCTCTCTGTATCCAAGGATTCTGTATTCATGGATTCAAACATGCATGGCTTGAAAATATATTTTTTAAAAAAACAATTCCCAAAAACCAAACCTTGATTTTGCCACTTTATATAAGGGTCACCATTTCACTATGCCATTATATTTAATGGGACTCGAGGATCCACGGATCCTCGATATCCACAAGGGGTCCTGGAACCAAACCCCAGCAGATACCAAGGGCCCACTGTATAATGATAACTATCTTATGAGGCCTTGGAAATATAATTGTAACTATTTACTTTTAAAACTAGTTTTCCATGCTCTGTTTCCCTCCACATTCTTTCCCAACAGTTGCAGTCCACTGGCCTCCTGGTCTCCCTCTCCCTCCTGGCTACTTCTACAGCAGGTTCACTACATAGGCAAGGGAAAAGTAATGAAAAAATAATGCATAAGAAAGTTTTATCTAAAATATGTAGTAAATGTAGACACAATAGTTTCCTGGAATCCAGGTAAACAGTGTGTGGTCAAGGCCTTGGAAATATAATTTTATATAAATATAAAAACACTGTGCCAAAAAGTAAAAACCACAAGTAATGTATATGCTTCCCGTATATATGCAAAT